TTCTGTGCGGGCAGGCCACATTCCCAAATGCAAAAACCCCCAAAAAAAAAAAAAAAAAAAAGCTCTACTGTCATACTAAATTGCCACATTTATCACGTGCAGTTGACTGATGCAGGTCAAATGTGACAGGATCGGGCATTTCAATGAATTATTCAAATAACCGAGCATATGGCAAATTCGAGTCGGAGCAAGCACTCACCTTTACAGTTTCTTCTGTGTTCAGTTTATTGCCCTTAACCAGAACGATTTGGAAAGGGTTGTTATTCTCCCAGATGTGCTGTAAAGGAATGAAATACAGAGCATGGTCATGGAAGAATGGGTTCGCTATGCCGGGTCAGTTCTCTGTCGGGCAGAGGTGGGAGCAGCTCTGAACGAACTCGTCTACCACGTGGAGGATTATTCTATCAGCACTGGATTCTCATCTTTCCCTTCACTAGCAGCACGAACATAAAAAGCACCCACAAATACTACGAAGAGCGCTGGGTGAATTACGAGGTGCCTATTTAATACAGAGGTAACATCGAGGAGCCATAAACATACAATTTGTAAAGATGAGTAACATAAAAAAGGTAACTGCTCAAGTGAACAAAATTCAGGGTTCGCTTTATACAAAAGTTGTATTTTGAAAAAAACAGTGCCTTTGATAGACGTTTAATACGAAAAGAATTCAATATTAAGATGACAGACAAATCGCCACCAGACACACGACCATCAGCAAGCTGACACACGAAGCATCCTTTCTACCAGAATGTCCCATCCAGCCACTGAAGGCCTTGGCTTACAGCCCTTACTTGCATGGCATTTTTCTTGGCACGAAAAGGGTAAATGGCATATTTACATTTCCTTGTAGCTTGAGGAAGGAGAAAACACAGTAACCGGCAAGACAATTTTTAGATAAATGGGGGTGAGCCTATGACAAGGGCGCAGTGGTCTTCATGGGAGACACGAGCAGTGGGAGCCCGCGGGAACCCTAAGCATGCTCTAACTAAATCGCACGCCCCCCGGGGTCACCGAAGGTCCGCGCAGTGAACTTACAGAAATAATTCGCGTTTTCTTTGGCGGCAAGGGGAGAGGAGGGGTGGACGAGCTCCGCTGTATGGCACCTTCTATGGCCAACATCTCCTGCTCGTACATCTTCTTAATCTTACAGCACTCCACAAGAATGAAATGGGGCAGCGTCCTGCTCATTACGCAGTTCCGGACGTACTACGGAGGGGTAAGGCTTGTTAAGCAAGCGTGTACCAGCTGGACGAAATAAGGCAGATTAAACGATACCAAAAGGCACTGGGAAAGGGCTGGGTCCCTGGGAAAGCTGTGCCATGTTTTTCTGTTTTCCTGTGCAAAAACGAGTCATGGCTTTTCCGACAACACAATAGATCTTTTTTTTTTTTTTTGGGGGGGGGGGGGGTGTTTTTTTTTGTGTAGTGCTATCGGCGT